TAAAAATATTAGACTATCTGCCAGTTATCTTTCATGAGACTTATTTTACCAAGTTGCGTTGCCTACGTTTAATGTCAAATAATGGATACATATTTGTTATGACCCTTGGCTACATTAAAAGATAACAGAAGCGAAAGGAACGATAAAGTGAAAGATGCCAGGGAGGGACTGACATGCGAGGTAGCAGAAATCTAAAAACAGTTAAACATCCGCGCATTATACATACATACCTCATGAATGTGTGGATGATACCGCATGTGTACGTACGTAAGTGTATATGTTTGCAACTATTTGTACTCGTATGTATGGGTATATGTGCTTCGTTTTTGTTTGATGTGTGTGGTTCGTTTGTGGAACAATTTTCAATAACAGTTTCAAACCTACACGTCATAATTTCATCCATTTCACTTCGGTTGATTTTTTTCACTTTGAAGTATTTTGACGTTCCTTGAGGAAAAGTAATTTTTGTTAGGTGTTTTTTAATTTTAGATTTTCTTTTGTTTTTCTGATTTCTCAATGTTTATTTTCATTATGGTTTTAAATATTTAGGTTGACAGGGGTCTGCATATGTAATTTTCCTTAATTTTTCATTAATGGCCTTCGTCCGGCCCGCGACCCGTCATTATAACACGATCCGGCCCGCGGGGTCGAATGAGTTGCCCATCCCTGGTATAGAGGATAGCCGTCCAAATAATAATAGAGGATAGAATAGAAATAACGAACACATAAGACGTCACATAACTTCCTCCATATATGCGTTTGTCACGTGATCCACTTGATCTCAGTAATGAAATCACCTGTGTTTGATCACTGGCGATCTGTATTCAAATACAACTAACGGCAGCGACACTTTATTCCTATATAACAATAAAGATTCGTAAATAATATAGACAATACTAAACACATTAAAAACAAATTAAAATGACTTTTTATTGACATCATTAATGGGGCGATTGTATTTGATAAGCAGTAGCAAGGGCATTTGGTTGAATATTGGTCAGTTTTAAATGTAAGTCACCACGAACGAACTCCTTCCGACCCTAGCTATTTATTGACCCCCTTTTGACCTCCCCAGACATTTATCGGTCTCCTTCTGACCCGTCAGACATGTATCGACCACTCCTCTTTATAGGCCCATCGACCCTCCCCCCAAGATCGTTACCGACCGCTTCGGGGGACTGAGGTAAATAGTAACACGGCGGCTCACGCGTAAGAGATCGTAAGTCCAACAGTCATAAATCAGTTGGAGGGGTGGGCGTAAATCCAAAGCGAGGTCAGAAATTCACATCACAACAAGCTCTTCATCCATGAAGAGCCAAAGCGTTCTTTTAAGAAAGGTTGTGATTGGTCGAAACTGGGAGAGGGAAGCGCTAACAATTACCACATTTTTTTTAAAATCATTTCACTCCTCAAACAAGGCAGTAAAGCCACTAAGACACAAAGAGTTATTGAGTATGAAAGAATAAGAAAAAGAGACATAAATAAAAGAAAACAATAGAAGAAGAGTAATCAAGAAGTTATTACATAACGATGGACATTGCAGTTGGATTTTTGAAGATCAAAGTTGACTGGAAAACATGGAGCCCGTAGAGAGTTTCACAAGTGCGAGAAATGCTAGCATAGGACTCATGGTTACATCTAGCCAACCCAAATGGAAACTGATGAGACCTTGTTGCCAATCTAGCACCCCGCTTAAATTCATAAAGTTTAGGTACCATAACGGAGAGTTCATGAAAGTATTTATAGAAAAGGCACAGGGAAGCTACCTTTCGACAGTGAGAAAGTGAATGAAGCCGAGAAGCCAGGTCAGTACCAGTAATATTGCCGATTCTTCTTTTCTTTTTCGACGGACAGAACAGAGAACACGAATTATGCTTTTAGGTAAGACTTGATCTCTCCTTCGATGCCATGGTTCAAATCAGGGATCGGCAAGATTTTGGAGAGAGCGGCCCAGAAAGTTATGCAGTTGTCTCGAAGGAGGGCCATGATATCAAATTTTTTTCATGTACGGTGGTCGTAAATAATTAAATATAACTCAAAACTTCAATGTTAAGATAAAAAAAAGTACAACCGCAAATAAGTACTTAACAAGAACAAAGAAGTAAAAGTCAATCAAAGATAATTAACCATTTCAATGAATACCTTGTTAGTAGCACGGCTCAGCGTAACGTCCGGTAAATTATAAATCAAAACCCAAATCATCGATGGACAATAATTCACTCTAATTCGACTGGATAGTTCCACTCAACAGTCATTCAATAATCACTGCAGTCAGTAGCCTGACACTGCTATTTATACATCTGGTGGAAATATATATTCTTAAGTCCATAGTATCATGCTCAAAACTCAGTGTTGATAGTTACTCATTTTCTTTCGATATGACATAAATTGTCTTGACCTCAGGCCGCTCCGTCCATAAGGCTGTCTTGGTCTGGAGATTTAAAGAAAAACAACAAAGTTAATGTATATTATTTAAACAAGGTTCCTTATTATACTACAGGAATAACAGGACAATGATTAACAAAAAAAAAGTATGATGGTTGAAGTTATCGGTGAGCAAATGTTGCATTCATTCATGCCCTTGAATCTATCCATTCTCTCACCTGCTTTGGTTTGAAAAAATAGAGATTGGACTCTCTCAATTTGGATGGCAGCCAGTCTAAGAGAATAAAAACCAATTGGGTGTACTGATGTTGATTGTGGAGTGACTAGCTCTTGACTATAGTTTCTCATGAAGCTATCTCCATTGTGAGAAGAAGTTACAGAAAGGATTGGCAAACGTTTGGAGAGAGGCAGCTATGAAGTGGCTCAGAGGAAGGACATAATATCAAATGTATTATAATAAATTGTCTTGACCTCAGACTGCTCTATCCATAAGGCTGTCTTGGTCTGGAAGTTTAAAGAAAAACAACAAAGTTAATGTTATATTATTTAAAAAAAAGGTCCTTAGGAATAACAGGACAGTGACTAACACAATCAACAAGAAATGCAAATTCCTTATTACAAACAAAATGGCAAATTGATGAGACATTTATTTTTGCTCCTTCACATAAGGTGAAATATTTGTCAAATACATCATCCAGGTGTTCATCACCCAACCTTGTTTTTAAACAATTTTCGTATTATTCAATAAGGCTTTTATATTTTCTGCTGAGCAAAACATTTCTTGTAGAAGTCAGCAGTGGATTTGGAATGAAATTTTGATTTTAAAAAATTTGTCACATTGTAAGTCAGTTAACTCCCACTGATATTTTTTCTGTCACTTGCTCCACAAATGAATTAGATAATTAGTATCCAGGTGGCGGGCTGGAGAAAAATCCTTCGCGGGCCGGAGAAAAATCCTTCGCGGACCGGATGTACCCCAAGGGCTGGGGTTTGCCGACCCCTGGTGTAAATAGTAAATAAAAGCAGATCTATTACTTTCCTTACAGATTATACACAGGAAGAAAAGGCTTTAGACTGGATCAATGAAAACGTTAACAACAATAACACAAAGAAGAAGATTAATTAATCGAACAAATGCTGAAATGGAAAAGAATGTCTACATTGAAATAACGTGCATGCATCCCCCCTACACACACACATGTACTATTAAATTAATCACACTCTAAAATAATATGCTTTTGGCTATACATTTAGTCATTTTCAAGGTTGAAATGTATTAACTGATAACAAGAAATACTCAATAATATCAACTATGAACATGGACACCATATCTTGACCGTGTTTGGAAAATGAAAACATTATATAATTAGATACATGCAATAAACTATTCCCTGTTAAAAGTTAATATATTTCAACCTAATTAATATATTTCAATTTCAAAGCACCTTGTCCGTCGTATTAAATGAAATGTGCATGAAAGAAGGATTGCTGTCTAAATACATTTATATATATATATATATATATATATATATATATATATATATATATATATATATATATGAAAAAACGATATATATTTTTTATATATTAAGAACGGTATTGGGGAAAGTGTATGACAAAGTGTAAAAATTTTCATAGGACTAATTTTTCTTTTGTTGATAGGAC